ATCAATTTGGTTGTGGTATTTGGTGAATTGAATTGTGCAGGCCTCATTAAGCCTCTCTATGCAGCTAACATGGTGAAAATCTGAGTTGAAGTCATCTCGCCTGACGCCCACAGAATGACACATGCTCGGAAGTATCTATGCTCGTCGCCCAAGTGAATCTGAGCATAAAATAAGAGAAATCCTAATCGCTCGCAGCAAGTAAGCGGACAAGATAAAGTCCAGCCGAAATATTGGTTATCTTGGTCGGCTCGTATGCCTTCAGCGAGACTGCATGATCGAAAGAAGTGCGCCATACCAGCGTTAAAACATTTTGTGTAATGTATAATAGTTTCATTGCATAAAAGTGCAAGAATACATTTTAAAACAATCCTTTAGCAGATAAAAATAACACCTGACCTTTCAACATCTAAATATCCTCCTACTCCATAAGCCTTGCAGAAGATTAACTCACAACATGTTTTGTTAACTTGGCAAAAAATACTTCATCAGAGTACTTATATTTGTAAACACCTTTGAGTATAATATTCAATTTCGAAAGTTTGTGTGTCCCAAGATAATAGGTCAATATGTACTACAATTTGACAATTTCTGAACAAAAGTTTAAAATTGAGTTATTCTTACAATAGACATGCTGTTTTTAAAATGCTTGAAAAACATAAAAATGACTAGAGAAATCACAGGCATTTTGGACAATATCTCTTGATTTATCAATGGAACAAACATATCTTTCCTCAAGCAGGAGCTTTAATTTTACATTTCCATATTTGTTTCATAATTGACATCAAACTAACTATCAAAACTTGAATAATTGCATTTTGTTTTCAGCTGTGATTATCAGTCCTAGCCACACTGAAGTCCACCCACTCCAAAGATGGTGGTCTGGACCGCCTCACGCAACGCTGTGGCTGCTGCTCGGCCATCAGCTGCTGCCTGTTGCTCGAGTAAAGCTTTGAGGCACTAATAAATGTCAACGTCTGTTTGAGCCGAGAAATGTGTTGTTGAGTCACAGTCATTGCGTGTGTGTGTGTGTGTGTGCGTGCGTGTGTGTGTATGTATGTGTGTGTGCGTGCTCATTTCAGGGCAATAGCTCTGATTTAGCCCCTTCTAAATGAAACCAGACAGATAGACACACAGAAAAGGTCAACAGTCGCTTCTGCATGTTAATAGTGTAATGTGTGAAGGAGAGGAGGAGGACAAGCAGCTCTCACGTCCGCACCTATCATCACCGCGGTTACAGAGTCAGGGGTCTTCTGGGGACATTCAAGGGACTTCACCCATACACCTATAGTTAGTCTTATTTGCTTTCTAGACTAGATTTAGTTAGGGCCATTTTGTTAGACTTTTGAGTTTTGGCACAACTGACCCACGCCCGCCCTCCCACCATTTTGTTGTTCCTTGCATGTTTGACAAATAAATGTGACCTTTTTGTGACAAATGTTTTCTCATTGGTCATAAGCATGCTATATGAATAATGATTATAGCTGTATAGTTGGTTTAAAGTTACAGATTATTTACAACTAGATGTGCTTGACTGGCCCCTTAAATGAGAAGAGACATCTTATCTACAATAGTATACAGAGAAGATCTTAATACTCTCAAATTTACACAACAGCTGTCTTGTTCAATAAAGCCTTGGCAAAAATTAAAAGCGTACAGCAAAAGAGGTCAAAAGAGATTTCAAGACAGCTATAAACAAATAATCAACATGCATCTAGGTGCACCACCGTTTCCCACTGCTCCTGACACCTCGTCCCAGTGGAATAGCGCATTTTACGGCTACTAAAAATAGACTTGGACCTCACTCAGGACACAAAAGCCACACTGTTTGACTTACTGTCACTAACATGAGCAACATTGCGCTCAAACACAAAGGGAATGGTCGCTTCTATATTAAGTGTTCTCGAGTTCTGCTGAAGTTTGGCGTTTAGGCTTCAAGACAATAATGGGCCGTGCTCTGTCTGGATATCACAAAACATACAGTATATCCATATATAGCCCGCATCAGGTGACGTGTGTGTGTGTGTGTGTATATATGTGTGTATATGTGTGTAAATAATTCTAAACATTGCAGATACAGTATACTGTGTTTTTGACCTCCACACTACAGTTTCACTTCCATCAGTATGGCTCCGCAACCTCGGCAAAGATTTTGTCTCAGTGATATGACAGAATCCACCAACCACACAGACATAGGGACTGTTATGACCAAACATGCCAAATGTTAGTTGGGCCACGCCTCCCGAACACGAGGAAGGCTGAAATTGGGCTCAAAAACTCCTGTAGTCTGTTCGCTTCAAAAAGTGACCAAAAAAAAGTGCAAAATCAAATTTGGCATCTTAATTTGAGCACATTTTGAACAAGATGTGCCAATGGGACAAGCAAAATTATCTAGTTTTGAGAACATACAAGAAATGTCTAACTTATAGTATAATAAAGCAGTTCTTGAATAAAGACTAAAGGGCTTCGTCCCATAGACAAATCAAATCTTGTTTTAAGACAGTCAGAATGTACTCAATTAAGATAAAGAACACTTGATTCAAGCAATTAATACCTCCATATTTTATAATTTTTGTAGTGTAAGCCAGCTTTAAAGTGTAGCAGAACAAGTGTGAAAGCGCCCTTAGATTGCATTCATAAAAAAGAGAGATTTTTTAACATTTCTGAGCTGCTTTTTTTTTTCCCAATTGCGAGACATGCACATGTCGAAGCAACAGGGATCATGTGGCGCTTTTTTATCCTCTCTGTCATTTCAGTCGATACACCTTTGTCTCTCAACACTCTTAAGCCGCTCCAGCAGGTTTCCGGTCATTAGCACCGTCAGATGTAGCAGGCATCACAGTAAAGACCCATATCCTACCTTCTACCCCATCACCATGGAGACAGTTGTACGAAGCAGCCGAGATAACCACAGTGCCTCCTCTCCTCTCCAGGTTCATAATCGGCTTTAAAGGCAGGTGTGTGTATCTTCCCTCGGGGGTCCTCCGTCTTTATAAAGGTTCTTCATAAAGATAAACCATGTGTGCACTAATGAGATGGCACCTGTTTACGTGCGGAGGTTCAAAGTGCGCCTCGGCAACTAGGAGCGGCGAGATCCCTCTGGTATCTTTAAAACATTTTCCAGTTCAGATCGTATCTAATGCCACCAACAGGCCGCTAGTTTGGCTTAATAGGCGTTTGTAATGTAGCAATATCGAAGCCAGCTTTGAGGATGAAAAAGAATGGTAATACACTGAGCTTCAAACAAATTGGGTCAATCAAATACGAATGATAAAAATGCAAAACAATATGGCAGAATTGTGAGCTAGGTGTAGTCTTTAGACCCCTTTTCACTGTAAGTAAGTAAGTAATCTTTATTTATATAGCGCCTTTCACAGACCAGAGTCACAAAGCGGTTTACAATTGTTATTTTTGGGCCTTTGTCCTCACACTCCACACAGAGATGGGAGCGGGGTTGCCAGTACAGGAGGCACATGGCAGACCTATTGTACATGTTTTTAGTGGTAGGGGAAACCGGAGTACCCAGATGAAACCTACACAGACACGGGGAGAACATGCAAACTCCACTCAGAAAAGCCATGGTCCGACCGAGATTCGAAGCCACCGTGCCGCCACCTGTTTATGTAAAACCACCTCAAGCCAAGATAACAAATTCCTCGGATTAGTAATGTCTTCACAAATGAACATATTTCCAACATATGACATGACATGCTTTTTGGTACATTACAAGTTAAAGAAGAAACACTGCATTATTGTTTGGCCATTTTAAAGGATGATGAGTCTATTCACTCACTAATTTTAGACAGAAGGGGCTGAGTTACATATTTGTGCCAGAATGTTTTGATATTACCATGAACGGAACTTCTTTGCATAATTATTATGCGTCATTTATTTGCAGAGTTTTGCTAACGGGTGTGATATTAAAAACAGGTTAATTGAAATGCTAATCAAAACTGCAGAGCTGATAAGACACTGAAAAACTATTTATTCCTCAAGAGCAAGACGCAAGTGAACGTATCGCTGATAAGACAACACAGACAAGCCCTACTTCTTAATTCATTAATGCAAACTTTGTTGTGTTAAAAATAGGGCTGGGACTCGATTAATAAAAATAATCTAATTAATTAGAGGCTTTGTGATAGTATTTTTTTTTCACATAGATTTTTAGTTTACCATTGAATAATGACTGAATACATAAGCTTAAGCAACACATGTTCATTATGGATGATAAGGGGATCAGACGGACTTCTATCCATCAAATAACGTTTCTGTTATCGCCTCCACACACTCTGTCCACAACATACGCTTTTTAAGCCCAAAATCCACTGTGAGAACTAAAGCTTATAACACGTTTTTGATATGTGCATTCGAACTAAAATATCAGCAATAGCAGCTCACACACTTGTGTCGCTGCTCTTCCTCCGCTCACACAGGAGTCGCTCACTGCTCCTCTTCCTCACACACACAGAGTCCATTGCTCCATACACAGCGCTCTTTCCCGTCTCTAACTCACTCGGATTCAGACACAGCTAAAGTTGGTCTGAGCTTGTAATAATGTACTTTTGAACAAGAAAAGTCACGGAGCTCGAGTTGGTGCTCCAGTACAATCCGGTCCGTCTGAAACTCATCCAGTAAGGAACGTTCCGCAATGCAAAAAAACACATGCGATTAAAATGCGTCAATATTTTTAACGCGCTAATTTTTGTGGCGTTAACTAATCATAATTAACGTGTTAAAGTCCCGGCCCTAGTTAAAAATGCTATAGACATTTTAGAACCGAACTTGTATGACCTGGAATCCAGAGTCCAGTAATCATCAAAAAACTGGGAAAAGATAACCGGTGCTAGGTTGAACTTTGTACGTCTGAGCGTTGCTGCCTTGACTGGAGGACAATAAAGGATTACCCAAACGTGTGTAAGCTACATTGGACATGAAAACACTGATCTAATAAAGTCCCAAGCTCAGAAAAGAAATGTACATAATGTCTTGCTGTAACTTCTTACCGCTGTCACTGTTGTCGTCGACCAGGATGATCTCTTTGAGCAGATGTGCTGGTGTGTGGTTGACCACGCTGTGGACCGAACGCAGGATCACAGACAGAGCCTCATTCACAAAGATGAAGACCACAGAGATCTGAGGCAGGTCCTCCGGGTACGTCAGCAGCTTACACCTGTGCACAAACACGCAGGGATTACATGGTTGAGAGATGATTTAAACTGTGATGAAAAATCAGCAACACCGTGAAATCAGTTGGACCATCCTGCAAGAGCTGTTTTTATGTGGATCTGTGTTAAGGGCTAATTACTTGTCTAAATGTAATTCTTTCAATGAATTAAATTTACAATCAGTTTCAAATCATACTTTAGATTATCTCTATGAGTGATAAAAGATAGTACATTATAACATTTGCTATCAATACATGATTCAAAATCTAACCCTAGCAACAGAGATTTTTTTTAAGATTGAGCCTTTGCAATTCGGGCGTTCTGCTCTCCCAAAATTCCATCCGATGGGCGGGGGAGCGACTGAATTTTGCGTTGCATTATGGGTAACACTTGCCTTCGCAACTTCCGGTTCTCTCTGCCCGGCGCATTTTCTCTAAATGGTTGAGTGTTTTCGTCATTTTCTGTATGCAAATACATTCCCGTCTCTAACTAGTGGCATATCGCGCAAATCATCCGTCCAATTCACATTCTTCCCTCTTAGCTGAACTTCATTCTCATTGTTACCATCTGTCACTCGCACACACAGCCGTTTTCGTTCACTCTGCTCGCTGTCATCTTCTTCTAAATCTTCATAAACACCATCCGCTCGTTGAACTAGCAACAACAATTCCTCCTTTCGTTTTCCCACACTGCAAATACCCTTTCGCTTCAACCTTTCACGCAATTCAGGCACTGTCAATCGTTTGTTGTTTTCGTGAGCCATATTCGCCATTGTATGAAATCAACCGGAAGTGAACTGGGCAACAAACGGTGTCATTTTTTGATCACAGCGCCGCTCAGTGGATGAAATTTTGGGAGAGCAGAACGCCCGAATTATTTGTTCATATGTTTTGAATGATTGAGGAACTTTGACCGAATCTGTCCAAATAAGACAATTGCTTTTTCTGACTTTTGTGCGCAGTGTAAAAAAAGCTTCCCTCTTCATATCATCTGATCCAAGTTCACTTTTGACAGAGGGCCATCGTGTTGGGGACATTACTATACATTATCTGGAGCTATGGAACTAAATTTACATTAGGACCGGACTATATTTGCACCAACGCTGTTGAAAGAATGAGCTGTATGTAGAGTCTACTTTTGACTACTTCAGGGAGCCTGGTGCACATTTTAGTGATAATCCCATTGCTGCCATATTTTACAGTATTAGAGTAAATTTTAAAGCCACAGGATCCATAGAGAATTTGTAGGCATGCAGAGATGTCTTCCGTCGACTGGAGCAGGGGCGCAGAGGACACCCAGAGTTCTTTTTCCACGCACATTTCCCTTGGAGAGGTGTTCCAAGGCGTGTTCGAGGTCTAGAGCTTGGCTTGAAATTCAAGAGATTTTATACAAAGCACAAATCAGGCTGATTCACAAGGGCAGTTTATGGCCAAATACACATTCACATTTGTATGTCTTACCTGAGTTGGCCTTTTATTTATTCACTCTCATTGTTGTGCTTGGCCATGGAAGATGTATACACTGCGAGTAGTGACGCATTAATGTGGCCGAACTATGTTGTATTGTGTGTTCTGTAATAAATGCAGTTACAGACAAAAGACACATGACATAGTTAATTATTCATAAGTCATTTATTTGTTTGAATGTGTATGTGCATTTTTAGGATTTTTTGGCTCTGATGCAGCATTGAAAAAGACAATTGTAAGGCAGGGGTGTAGCTTAAAGAGCGACTAAACACCTGTGACCAGACTTACTCCGCCCACACGAACATTTGAACATTTTCTCTAAAAGCGCATTGCCTGGAGGACCAAGGGACAAGAAGGGGGGCTTAGTGTTGGGTGTGGTCTGGGCTGTGATTGACAGCTCGCTTGTCACAAAAAAAAAAAAAACAGACAGTTGTCATTGCTGCATAAAGCAATAGCTTACACACCAGAAAGTCTCATTCCACACTTGTTCACACGCTAAAATAATTGCAGTGCTACACACCTGAACCTAAGCCACAGAATTATCTGTGTGTGAGAGTTGGATGGGTTTATATCACTGGCTCAGACAGACGCACGTCACACACACAAACTGACGTTACACAGTATTACAGAGTCAATGAAAAGGCCAGGACCAAATTCAAATGTAGTACCACCAGAAAAGGTTGAGAGGGCGCCACACAGACGTTTTTAGGCTCAATAGTGAGATTTTATCTAATTTGCACTAAAATTTCAAGAAAATGACCAGGATATGTAGAGAGCACTACAATAAACATTATGCTGTTAAAAACATTTGATTTGGTGTTTAGTCGCCCTTTAAGCGAGAGTTCAGACTGGAAGACCAAAGAGACGTCATGCCTGCCACACTGACTCCTCCCTAGACACGCCTGAGCTCAACAGCAATCCGCCTCAGCTGCACAGTAACACACCTGGGCTCATCAGGGCTGCATTTAATCAGAGCCTCTCAGTTCTCTGACGTTCGAGCAGTAACCCGCCTCCTCCCCATCACGCCTATTCAGTGGAGTATCATGTCATGTCTTTGGCTCAGCTTCTTTGACTTGAAATATTACTCATTACTATACGCTTCAGCACTGATAATGTAATTTTATAAAGTAGTTGATTCACCAACACAGATCAGAGACTCAAAGAATAACAAAACACAGAAGCCATTGGTGGATAATCAATGTCCGTAAAAATGAATAAACCACTGTCACTGATTTGTCGTTGTCTTTATACAGGAAATGCATTTGTCATTTATCAATATTCGTAAGAAGCAACACTTTTTTCCCCTTCCTGCCATGTTACAATTGGGAAGTGAAAACCCCCTGCTCAACAGATATCCTTTAGTGTTTCCTGCACATGAGCATGCCAACACAATAATATGAATTTGTTTCTCCCACATTTAATAGTGAACTCCGCAGCTGAAGAGAGAGCGCTGCCTCTGCCGTTCCCACACATTCAGCCTTGAGTCATTTCCACATAATGAGGTGTCTCTAATAATTGTTGAGGATGAATTATTTACAAAGGACTTTGGCAGCAAGCTTGTGTTATTGTGCGCCACACAATATCAAGCTAACAATCAAGGCGAGTGTAAACAGATCTGTTGTAGTCAATTGGTTTTAGTCAAAGTTAAATCTTCCAGGCTTTTGATCAACACGGGTGGATGAGGGCTGCAGATGTCACATCAGAAAACACACAATGGACAAATGGGTTAATAAGGCAATTTTCTCAATTTTGTCAGAAGTGCTTAATTCACTGAGCGACAAGAAAGCAGAATATGATAAGGTATTGAGAATATCAGACTCACATTTTAAATTGGAATTCTTACACCTATTCATGCGTCTCTGATTCCTATTATACGCTTAATTTCTAACACTTTTTTTTAACAATTCAGAATATCAAATATTTGGTTCTAAAAAGTTAATCTTTGGCAACAATCCTATTTTTTGCTAATCATGGAATACAAAAATCATCTGTTTTAGAATATCTGTTTTTTTTGTTTCAGATAGTTGTTTTGGAATTAAAAGTTTAGCTAGAGTATCATGTTGTTACTCCTCTGCTCTGAGAAAGTACTGGGAACATATTCTACCATCTATAGACCTGCTTGGACTGACTGTACACTTCGTTTTGCATTGTCTCTTTTGTAACCCTATTCTTTTAAAATATGGACCAATTTAATTTAAGTCTGAAACACAGATTAATCATATATGTTCATGATACTACCAGGTTGTCCATTAAGGCTGTAATTAACAATTATATTGACAACCATTTAGGTAGCTTATAATTATTTTTGGTTAATCGATTAATTGCTTGATTCCGAAAAGCCGGTGAATATGGGATTTTTTTTAATTTCTTGACCAAAACAAAGCTCACATAATGTCCCTGGAGAACATCTTCATAGAGACTCGTAACATGTGTGTAGTCATAAAATGTCTTTGCAGCAAGTTTAGTCCTAAGTCTACATAGGATTACAAAAATGATTAATCAATAACAAAATTAACTCCACCCCTTTTTCAAACCATGTTGCTGTTTATTTCAATTTCCCGTTTGCTTGTTTTTTTTTGGTTACCTAAGTTTGAAATAAATGACTATACTGTGAATATATGACAGAACAAAGGTGAAACTGTACAACACAAGCTCCCGTTTCCTTATAACCTGTAAAAATCAAAGTCAGCAGTTGCGTGCCCTGGTCTGAGGACACGGTGTTTGATGTTGGTCTGTTCTGGCTGTGATCTGTCTGACCTCCACCTGTGAACTGCAGCTTCACGCAGCGTCAAAGATCGGACCACCGTGAGACAGTGGGTCACCGTATCTCTGCGAGCATCGGCCCCCAGAGTCCTGTGAGCCCCGGCTTCATTATGTGTGTGTCTCGGGTTTTACTGGCTTCTCACCTTTCAACAACACGAATTGGCAAGAGATGAACTAACAATTAAGTGGGAAGCTACAACAGATGGCCGATTATTCACTCCTGAGTTAACGTTGCGAGCGATGTGCATGAAAAAAACAACCAACGGTTTTTAAACATTTGATGAGAAGAAATTACAAATTAAGCTGAAAGGGAAATACAAACTAAAAGACAGAAAACTAGTAAAAATAATCTTATGTTTCTCTCCCAATACTTACACATGCGCCTCGATCCTCTGCTATTCAGCCTGCATTTAAACTGTACCTTGATTGTACCTGTATCTAGCAGCTTCAACTCTTGCCGCAACCCTCCTCCTCCACATCACTACCTCAACATTAGGACTTTTCTCCATGTCCTTAGCCCAGAGGAATTTAATTTTCATAAACCCAAATTGATTTCCCTCCTGTATACATGCTGAAATGGCATAACCAACATCAGGTCAATAAGTATAATTCTTACCACTTTGTATGCCTTCTAGGTCTGAGTTCCGAATCTTGCAGTTCCTTTACCTCAATTTTGTGTAAGCATAACTTTAGCCAACTCATTCTATTACATCCTCGGTCTGCTTTGAGTCTTTGCAGGTGGAAGATGAACACAGACAAATTCATTATTACAATCT